AGCCGACAACGGAGCAAAAATTTACCATGTTTACACTAACAGCTGACTTCAAGTCTGTTTACATCTTGTTGGTTGACCTTCAAGATGGCCGCCGACGCGTTGTCAAGGAAACGTGACGTCACACGAAAAACCTCTATATGTGTGCACATATGAAACATAACAAATTTTGATCACATAACATTCCAAAACCAAAAGAAATACGGATTACGTTCACATGAAATAAAGTTGTGCAGTTGTCAAGTCTCTTGGGTATTGCCTTTTGCTTTCATGAATTGTTTTGCTTCAGTGACACACTGAACTATTAGTCAGTAAATAGACACTCATAGTTACTGTATATTTTGGTCATATTTTACAGTACAAGTGCGTTGATTCTAGAATGGTGATAAATGTCTTCGCTGAGACAGCGACAAAAGATGATAATATACAAATCCGCAATTGAAATGGCTTAACTATCGTATGTAAAGGACATGTCAAACTACGTAAAAGATAAATAGACTAGGGAACAATTCTCAAAAATACGTAATAGATAAATATTAAATCAGTTGTAAAGGTGGTTAAATCTACCATTTCTCCAGGAAAACCTGGCACTATAGATTATGAGGATATAGTTTCCGCGTTCATCTGGTGATAATTTCTATGCCAGCTGTAAAATTAACTCACCGCTGTGAGTGATTCAGTTYGTGTTGGACTAAATCCTGTGAAAAGTACCAACAATACACGATTACTGGGTCCGGATCCCAAATAAGCCTTAAAGACAGTAGGATGTTTAAAACACATAATTGTAGAAAAATATATTCATTTCAAGACTGAACTCTAGAGCATGATTGTAAATATATGTTTTAGTTTTAAAAATTTTTTAATCATTTTTTTGTTTGTTTCTTTCTTTCTTTCAATTTTTTTGGTGTCATTAATTCGTCTCGACTTATGAACTCATCAATATTGGTATCTCTCGCTTTATTTATACTAAAGTCATGAAGTTACAGACACCTTGAAGGCTCAATACTAAATAGACATAAAGACAAAAATTAGATCGATAAAATTATAAGTATTTAAGCTAGGAAACGACTACATGAACGAGATTCAACTACCGTTTTGACGGTACGGCGAACAAGTAGCCACTGAATGTTGTGTACAAAATCTATCGATAACAAATGCGGGAAAAACGAATACATATCAAAGCCTATGGGAAAACAAAATGTGCGCACAAAGGAGAACTTAACTATATGATATCATACTAGGAAAATTTCATGTTATAGGTTTTTCAAAAGTCACTAATTAATTAAAGCCAAAAAAATTGGTCGAGGGAATTAGAGTTAATAGATTTTGGTCGAGACYTTTTAAAGTAATAACGTCGAAAGTTTTTGTTGTTTTTGTTTGCTAGCTCACTAATCGTTACGTGAGACTTGTTAGTTTGTGTTTGGCGTTTTTTTTTATAAACCTTTTTTTTTACTTTTTTTCATATCAAAATGTTCGTTTTTCTGATTACTTTATTTGCGTAAGAGAATTTTAGCCAATGACAAATCAATTTAATTAAATAACAACAAATGACAAATTGTGCAGTTTTCCGCTATATTCTAGAAATTACTTTATATCAGTGAAACATCACATTTTTAGTGCTTCACGATCGATTATGCTGTTTTTGCTCTAATGTTTATTAATCAATTGTCCACATCTTTCTTAAATAAGTTGAACTTATGAAAAATACCTCCCAGGTAGAAAACAAATTTTTTCATATTTGCAGGACCTCATCAGTGATTTTTGTTAACACCTGTTTGCAAGCATTAAATTTTAATGTACTACTAGTACTACTACAGCACTTGAAACGTAATGTGTCCACCAATCACAGAAAAGCTGAAACATTTGTATTCAGCTCTAATCATTGTGAATAGAACCTTCTTGTTGTTTTCCAGTGGAGTTGAATGTCAAAATGCTGGTTGCAAAAGAGGTCTTCCAATTTCTGGTTATTTGTGTTGAGGTAAAGTATGAAGTTAATATAGGAGAGAGATYARTTTRGGGTTCAAATKACAATGATTTTATTTTATATTMACAGTGAAAATTGTTGTRATTTTCAAATTTATATTTGAACGCTTAAAATATATGCGTGCCTTGATGATTAAGAAATAAGTAAAACAAAATGAAGTGATCAGGACCTTTTTATCGATTGGGTGCTATCAAATAGTTGTAAAGAGAATTACAAGTGTTATTAGAATTATATCTCTCTCAAAGTACAGACTACGACTAAATTATCAATGCTTTCGATTGAAATTACACTTCCCATCAATAATTAATGAAATGAATTTCATAATTTAATAATTTCAAACTAAGTTTCTTAGCCTTAAGTCTTAGGTCTGACTATATTCTATAGCTCATCTTTTCTCCTTCCTTTCGTACGATAATGCCAACACACTTTTGATTCGGGAAATGCAATATGCTCAGAGAACAATTATTTAAATGATGAACAGAAAACTTAGGGACTAAGCGCCATTTATCGTTATGGGCGGGAGGAGGGATTGAGAATCAAGAAGGGGGCCAAAATCGTATTTTATGTATAGTTTACAACATGAGCGGCCGTGTTGTATTGGAATTACAATCTCGAGCCTGGGTAGGAGGCTAGAGACACATAGTTACTTTATTAGCACTCGTCGCCTGACTCAACTTCAAAAAAAGCCTATCAAAACATCGATCTTGTCGTGTGAAAACTATCTTTAGCCGTTTGGTTGATCAAACTGTATAACTTGTGACCAAATAAGTGGTCACGTGATCATTTGTCATGTGAACTCATAATTCGAACATCAAAGACAAATTTACAGAGTCAGTACCAGCTAAAATCAACTTATTGATGTTTTTTAAATCTTCCCGATTATTGTGTTCGTACTTAACTTATATAAGATATCACTCTAGGAAATTTTCATGTTATAGGTTTTTCAAAAGGAACTTATTGAAATGAAGCCAAACAAAACAAAACTCGACAAATATTGACTTATCATCCATCTCCCGGCTACAGTACCGTGACAGATAGCGAACCTTGTATTGAAATCTTAAATTATACTATGTATATAGTCGATTTTTTTCTTAAAAAATTGTCGGGACAACCGTTATTTCAATTAATACAACAAGGGAAATGCCCTCCCCCTGCTAATTTTTGACATGACCCTTTTTTAGTTCTTTATTACATTTCTTTTGTGCTACTAATTGAAATTACAAATGTCCCGACTACTTTTCACAAAAAAGTCGACTGCCTGACGTTTAGTTCTGGAACTAAACGTCAGGCAGTCGAAAGATCCTCAAAGTGCCGTGCTTGTGACTATAGAAACTTGTCGAACACTATTATTTTGGTCTTAATTGCATTTTCACTTGTTGTATTAATTGAAATTACGGTTGTTCCGACGATTTTTCAAAACAAAAATCGACTGCCTGATGTTTGGTCCTAGAACTAAATGTCAGGCAGAGTCATGCCATAACAGCATTTTGGTTAAGGACGAATCAATTTATGTAAAGAACAGCAGATACCAAATTGTGCAGTTAAAAGTGGGAATTACTGTACATTTGTGTAGCATTGCTTTTATCATATAGTGCCTCACGATCGATTATGCTGTTTTTACTCTGCCATTTATTAATCAAAATTTGTTCGCATATTTCCTAAATAACTTATGACTTAGAACTTACTCAATTCGACCAAAGGCTTGTTAGGCCATTTTCCAATTAAAACAACTAACAGTTCTTTCAAGTGTTAGACAATGTTTGATGCGTGCAGTCTTTGAATTTTAGAACGTTTGTTGAACTTATGAAAAATATCACCCAGGTTGAAAACTCATTCTTATGTGCATGAATGACCGCATGATTTTTGTTTACACCTGTTTGCAAGCATTAAATTTTAATGTACCACTACAGCATTGCAACGTATTCAATGTGCCCCCCAATCACATAATTGTTAATTATTTGTATTCAGCTCAATTCATTTCGAAGAGAAACTTCTCGTCGTATTCTAGTGAGATTGACTTTCAAAATGGTTGCAAAAGAAGTCTTTCAAACTCTGGTAATTTGTGTTAACATATAAGATGAAAAGATGGAATTGCATTTTAATGATGACACGAGAAAAAATAGCGAACACAAAATTTCGAATTTTGCTCCAAATTACAATTAGGATATTATTTCTATATTGTATAATATTGTTTTAATTTTGAAATTCATATTTGGACGCTTAAAGATATATGCATGCACTTGATTCATTTTATAGAATTATAATTCTCTCAAAAGTACAGAGTATGACTAAATTATAAATGCTGCCCATCGATATTGAACTTTCGCGATATTTTTGGAATGAGCTTCCATCCATAATTAATGAATTAAAGCTTTCCAAAATTTCGTAATTTCAAACAAAGTTCTAATAAGTTTTGACTATATGCTATATAGCTCAACTTTTTGTTTTCCTTCTTGGGTAAGATTTTTCTCTGTGGTTTTTGATGTTTTTCTATTCGCTTATATATTTTCTTGGACGTCAAACACACATTATCTTCGTTTCAAAAATGCAACATATTGAGAGAAGCATTTTTTTAATGATGAACACAAAACTAATTAAAAAATAATTTTTCATTGCAATGCTGACTGAAGAGGATTAATTAAAATGTGATAATTGTAAAATCGGTACCTCTAAGTGACCTTTTATTAGTTAGCGACGAGAGAAAATTATTACAGTAAACACCCGAAAACAAGAACCTAATTGTTTAAGATAAATAATTTAGTGAAAAATATTCTTTATTCAGTTTTGTTATGGATTAAGTGCCTCTTGGCAGAAATTTCCCATTCTAAAAACACCTTAAATAAGAACCTCTTTAGCCAAACATTATCAAGCAGGTTCTATTATGAGTTAGAGCTAAATAGGCCATTTGCATTATGGCGTAACATTACTACAACTACCAGAGAGCCTTGCGCATTTTCATTGTTATTCAGATTTTTAATCCCCATGGAGATTAATAAAACAATTGGCACTAATTGCATTACAAAAGAAAGTTGGCAAAGCATTCTGGTAGTTGTAGTAAATGACGCCATAATGCAAATCGGCTATTACAAGATAAACCACAAGGGGCCCAGGCTCAACAGTTGTGTTGCTTTCACGGCGGTGTCAAAGTATAACTTGCGTGGTTCGTGGTTCGAGCCCTCATGAAGCCGTAAATTTGTTCTACTTCATTTCTTGAGACTTTTCAAGACTTTTTCTTTCTTTTCTTTTATCTTTGATAAGTATATAAACAGTTTTTTGAATAAAGATTTATTTTAAAAGCCATTTTTATATTTTTATCCCCCTCGTAAATACAAATAGACAAGGGAGGTAAGTCAGCGATCGAAATTTGCCAACTGGCTCTAAACTACGGCCTCTAAGACACCTTTAACTTCATCCAATGGACATCAAACTCCGTACAGCTTTCAATCAATACATATTCTCACTTGACACCAATGTTCAGCCTCCAGTGAAAAATGTTATTCGAGATATTCTAGTCAGAAGATCAAAATACTCCAGCCTACCGATGGACGGTTCATTCAACTTGTGCACCAACGGAGCTCTTCGAAAGGCTGAGAAGAATTATCTCGCGCACAAATTAGAATTCTTAGCTTTGAAGTGGGCCGTTACAGACAAGTTTCATGACTATCTTTATGGCCGGCCTTCCTTTTACAGTAAGAACGGATAGCAATCATCTTGCATATGTGGCAACTACTGCTCGACTCGATGCAAGTGGTCATCGTTGGTTGGCGTCTTTGGCTACTTATGATTTCAATATCGTATATCGCTGTAGAAAGAAGAACCAGGATGCTGGTGCATTTTCTCGCCGACGCTACAGTGTGGACGAACAGGAAAAAACGATAACAAAGGAGGAATTGGTCGCACTGGTATCGTTACTAAAAACAAGGAAACATCCCTGTTGGAAAGTGACTGCATGAGTGAAGTTGGTGTTAATATGGTGATGGGTGTGGATGATATTGAAGGAAAACGTCAAACCTGCCATCTATTTCGTTAGATGAGTTGAAAATGCGACAAGAAAGTGATCCGGTTGTGGGAAGAGTGATTAAACTTCTTAAGACGAAGGCAGCTTCTAGTCGTTCTGATTGGTCGAAGGAAGAGAAAGAGGTACGGTATTATTTTAAAGGGTTGGTGCGCTTACGTATAGTTGATGACGTGTTATATCGTGAACGTGATGATGATGGTCGACGGACGATCCAGTTAAGTTGGTGGTACCTGAGTCCCTAAAGGGCAAGGTTTTCAGTGGTATTCACGGCGAGATGGGTCACTTTGGGGTTGAAAGAACAGTATCTTTGGCGCGATCAAGTTTTTTCTGGCCCAAAATGGCAAAAGAGCTGTCAGAGATGGTACGTACTTGTAAAAGCTGTGTCCTACGTACGTAAGTCTCCCCAAAGGCACAAAGTGACGCCGTTGGTACCAATTGTTTCCACCTCCCCATTAGAATTAGTATGCATCGACTACCTCATGCTTGAGAGATCTGCGGGTGGCTATGAGAATGTCCTCGTCATAACGGACCAAAAAAAATCGCTTTTATACAATTGATATTTCACTTAGTCTCTTTCAACAGCCGCGACTTCCGGTCTCGTCAAATTTCCTCCCCAAAAGTAACGGCTGTTTACCCAGGACCAACATTCCTTTCCCTTTGATTGAGCAATCACAGCTTGGCTCCTGAAAACCAGGAGCCGTTCGCGCCATAATCAAACAAGATAGTTGTTATTGCAGCTGCGAAATTTAAAATCAGAGAGTTAAACGACCATCAAAAGAATGCTATTCTCAAGTTTATCGTAGATAGAGTCGATGTGTTCGTTAATCAGCACAATGGGTTTGTAAAATCGCTAATTTTTCAAACATTGGCATGTATTTTCGATCACAAGTTGGGATCGTCGGAAATTATCGTCGCTGTGTGCTTAATCCATTTTAAAAACTTGCTTGAAACAAAGAAAACACTTACTATTATCTCCAATAAACTTTCTTCGGCGAACTCAACATCATTTGTAACTAAAAACAGGGTGCTGGAATGAAGTCGCGGGAAATTTATCAGGTTCAATTCAAAATGTTTTGTTTGCCTTTAATCCTCTCTCTCTCTTCTTTTGATTGGTTGTTGTTAAACAATCGGAAAGGAATTTTGCGCTTGGGTAAACAGCCGTTACTTTTGGGGAGGAAATTTGACGAGACCGGAAGACGCGGCTGTTGAAAGAGGCTATATTTCACTCAATGTAATATTAATGTACAATTACGATTATTCAAATAAATTTGTATTATTTTATCAATATTATCTTATAACTTTAGCAATACTTGTAAATAAAGTAAGTCATGCCWATAAAGTTTATCTATCTAGTCTGTCTATTGATACAACAAAATGGTGGGAACTAGTGGTAAACTAGTGTGAGCTGCGTCGGTGTTTCTAAAGAAACAGTAGACGTGTAAAAAGATAAATTTAACACCGCAAAAAAAGTATGTGAAATAACTTATTAACGTTTCGGACATTAATCCTTCGTCGGAGGATTAACGTCCGAAACGTCAGTAAGTTATTTCACATCCTTTTTTTTTTACGGTGAGAAATTTATCTTTTTACACAACTATTGATACAACAAAATGTATAATTTTGACAAAAAATGTTGGATTTAATGGCATCGTTTACTCCATCGTTTTGTTATTTCTTCTATTGGAAATATATTTCCAAGTGGTAATCCAGATGTTATGCATTGCGGGATCTATTATAAGACCTATAAATTGAGCACACCAAACTTTTTAATCAAGAGGACAGAATCTTTTAATATTGTAGAGGTTTTTTTTTATTTTTACAAATTGAGATTAACCGCGAAGTAATTATTTGCTTTCAGATTCTCCTCTCTACAGCGAGTGATAAAGGTATGTCGTTGGCTCCAGAATTTTTATTATATTTCAACACAACACAAACGTACTCACATACTTTTCTTCTTCTTCTTCTTCTTCTTCATCATCATCATCATCATCTGGCTTCTTCTTCTTCTTCTTCTTCTTCTTTATTCTATTATTATTGTTATTGCAATTTTTCAAAATGCTTTCTATAGAAACTCGTGACTTTTTTATGTAAAAATTACACTTTGTTTTTCAAGCTTTTCCTGGGCCGGTGGTACTTCTTCCTTTGAACAAACAATTTGGTACGAGAGACATAAGTAARAATCCTCAGACTACCACTGCTGRTAATGTATCTCTGRCTACTGGACCATATGGGAAACCAGAYGGGGCATACTATTTTCCAGGAAACCCTTCAGGATATATTGAAATTCCAAAACAACCCAAGACAGACACGAGGTGATGCATTATACACACCACTTTACTTGACAATTAACATGAAAATTCATGACAAACTGGAAAATATTAAGCGATACCTTACTAATGTTAGACATATTTTAATGGATGTTCCAGTCCTGCTTCAGAATTTAATCGAAAACTTCTGTCTATCAACATTGTTGTTGACATGATATTTCCTGTTATTTTTTCAGGTACAATATGTCATTTTTCACTTGGATCTATAACCAAGGCTCGTATGGGCCAATATTAAACTATGAAGCTAATGCAAATTGGGGTCTTCACGTCTTTATCCATACGCCATCCATATTCTATGTCAGTTTGGTTACTCGAGATAACGCAAACGACGCTTCAGTTGTTAAAATCGAAGACACTATTGCAAAAAATGCATGGACATTTGTTGGATTTACTTATGACTACAACGCTGGGAAAGTGAGACTTTACATTGACGGAACGCTTAAAAAGGAGGCACCGTCCCCGAAACACGAGCTGAATACAAACTTCAAGGTATACTATCTTTGCAAAACTCTTGATTGCTAACATATATGTTTAATATAAAGTTCGAAAAAACAAAATTGTTGTCATGGAGAAATAGAAATTTTTGGATAGCCCAACAATTTCATTGTTCTGAATCCAAAACAAAMAGACATCATATTTACTCATTAAACTCATCAACATAAGATGAGCTTGGCGTTAGGTCCTTGGTTGACAAATTTGCGTTGGTTGGAATGGTAACGGTATCCATGGCAACCCTGTCATCACCAACCAAGCACCTGTCATACTGACGCTTGTCAGTGGAATACTTACCTGAACCAAAGAAGGAGAGGGAGGGAGGGAACAAGTTTGCATTCAGCGTACAGTTAGCGTTTGCGTCGGGCGAATAGCGACCTTCGTTGCAAATAACTATTCCTTATAAACAGAACATAATAGTCATCTCAACTGACCAATCGTAGGGCGTTTAGCTAGTTAGTTGAGATAGCGCGCTCAACCTGATCGATAAAGATAAGACAAGCCCTGCCACGGGCTGGCAGGGCGTTGATAGTACGCTTATTSATCTATTAATAAAGTTGCGTGATACGCACTAATGTCTTAGTTTAACTTGCTTAAACCTTTTATTTAACCCCATAAATGCATTCAATTTTCCAGTAACTTGACTTTTTCACGACAAAATATCCTACCCYGTCAAACGTCTCCCCTGTCCACGACAAAACACYTGAGTATGGYATTTCCTGTAGATTCGAATTGGTGGTACGAAGTATGGACATTTAGCAGATAAAGCGTTCCCTGGAAGGTTATCGTGTCTTCAAATATATGACGTTGCACTTACAGACGCCCAAGTAAAGTTTATTCAACGCTATTGTCGTGATGTTCTTGGTAAGAGCAATATAAAAATGCAAAATACTAAGTATAATGRGAAAGGGTATATAAATTGTTGGCAACGAGACAAAAAATTGTCCTTTTTAAGCTTGTTTATCTCTTTGATATGTGAGGAAAATTATTTGTGCTAGCGAAAAAAATCAGAATTTTTRCATGTCCTGTTCATTTGAGGACTGCAACAAATGTTTTTCGCTTTGATTTGAACTGCACAAATATCTACTGACATCCTCGAGAAAGTTCATTTCGCATGTTAAGTCAATTATAATAATATACAATTTCACTGTTATAAAGTCTTCCATATCATATTGGTCATATCCCGTATATCCGAGACAGATTAACAGAGTAATAATATTTTAGATACATTTTTAGCGAAAATCAATTAAAAAATATATCATCGATCAATATACGGCGATTGAGGCGGAGCAATCACTGGGAGAATCCTTGTGCGTGTACACTTGCCATTTAAGTGATTGCATGGAAAATATTACTAATGACTTTATTTAATACTTGATTGCATTTCATACCTTAGCCTAATTTTTACTTTCAGATAACTTTAAACCATGCGTGAATCACACATCAATTGATGTTTTTGATCGGCAACTGAGCAAGAAAGAAGGTGTTCATCCTCCAGACAAAACTACCATCGATCTCACCCAATGGTATAGATTTATAGGGAAAAGGATTCTTTCATCCTGTCCGACGTCAAGCTCCTGTGGGACCCAGACTCCAGGATGGCTTAACGGTCAATATCCTTCGCTAGAAGATGGGATAAAAACAATGGAATTGTGCTATCGCAAAAATTCTGATTGCTGTGCCTTCAAAATCAGTGTGCTCGTAAGGCAGTGTTATGGACATTACGTCTTCAACTTTCATAACTTTCCTGTCGAAGGCCGATTTTGCACAGAAACAGGTTAACTTCTTTGTTTTAATAACGAGAATACACTAGTTGAATGGAGATGATAAGCAACATTAATTACACTGGTTTGGTTTGTGTTTGTATTTGTGTTTGTTTTGTTTCTGTGTTTTTGGAATAAATTCAGACGCATTATTACAGCTATCAGAACAACTTTCATGTATTATATTCATTGTTAAAGTGCCAATATACCCTTGCCAAATATTGTTTTGAGTTAAAGTTTAAGTCCTTAATAACAATTTTACGGAGTATGAAAGTCACCAAATAAAAATTATTGATTTTACAGCGGTTTGGGCTACAAGCTCATCAGTTCTTTACTGGCACGTGTTTACCCTCTTAAAACAAAGTTGATTTWTTTTTTATTTWTTTATTATTTTATTACGATGATGACGTAGTGTCCGGGACGCGTTTTCATGTTTGATCGAGAAGCCTATGATGGTTCATGTAAACAGTTGAATTTCCGCAAGAATAGTTGTACTATTCTCTATTGCACTCAAAGTTCTCTGATGTTGGTTTGTTGACACTTTCAGTTGTCCCGGATGACTACATCATCAAAACACTAGTCCCAATTCCCCGCATCGCTCGGTTTTGYAGCACTTATGATCAACTTTGAGAGCTCATAAAAAAATGGATTTCGTCAAATCTTCACTTTTTCCAACAGATACATCATTTAGTAGATCTATTTTTAATATATGTTGTGTTTTGCTAGGGCGCATAGGCACTTTAAAAATGAAACGTACGAAAGACATCTACAAACAATACTTTTATTTTAAGTAAGATAAAACCGTCCCAACAAAGTCCTCATACGTCTTAAAATGGTAAACAATTTATTTTGGGTTCGCTTACAATTGGAATCAACGATTTTATTTTTTATGGGATATTAAACATTAATTAGTAGTAGTTTGGCATCCATTCACCGCACCAAAGATATTCGTTGTCCTTCATTAAAGGTTATAAGGTGTGTCCGTTCTTATTGCTGTCCTTGCATACGCAGCGATTAGTGACTTTTTGTATGTTGAATTATACTAATACCTGTTATATTTTCATTTAGTTCCAAAGTATTTAGCTGACATAATGTTTATGTCGACAAATGAAAGATGCTTAGTTAATCACGTGTTTTATACTGATGAACAAGTCAAAGACGCGACTACATGTGTCAGCTATTGCCTGAATGCTAGGAATACATGCAAGTCTGTTAACTATATCAACGAAGGGAGCGGTAAGTGCCAGCTTAACAACGCCACAAAGTCTGAGGGTCACCTTCGAGAAGATTCTAGATGTATTCATTATGAATTGATTTTATAAACCTTTTAATTGTTTGGAGTTGTAATATACAATTGTTTAGTGGTCAGCAAAGAATGGGACAAATCCCTTCAAATTTTTCAAACGTTGAGTCCAGGGGACTTAGCACCCTCGACGRATCATGGGTCTCATTATGAAAAAAAGACACATGTGACATCTTGAGCTATAAATTGCTCTCTGACATTACCGAGAAAAACTCCTTAGAAATCCCTGTAAGTTTCGATAAAGCGCGGCTTCTTTGCCATCAAATATATCAATGACTAAGAGGAAGAATGAAGGTCTGTTTGTTGGATCCACTTCAAAGCCAAAGTACTTTCAACGCGTCCTAGGACGTAGCATAGACTTTTAAATGAMATTGGTGTAGCCATACCAAAATTGATAGGGAACCTCAGACTAGACAACGTACGAGTACAAGATTGAGTTCAATCGCTACCGAAGTGCTGGCTAAGCTAACTTGAACGCAACTCCTGTCGCCCCTCCGAGAGCACAGACCATGACTCCCYTCTGGTCAGAAGTTCACCCTGAAGCCTTTCATCAATGTAAGTCTAACAAGGAACATCAATACGTCTTCTGAAGTAGCTGTACAACGCTAAAACGAACGTGTGACAGACAAACGATGATTCTCTCCAGTCGAAAGTTAAATTGGAGAGAATTGGAGAGAATCGCGAAGTATTTCTGCAATGTTCCCTACCAGAGAACGYTGTCGTACCCCGACTTATCATCACATTACGTCATTAGCGAGTCTCTTTGCAGAAGCGGAYCCTGGATGTTCCACAGGGAGGACAAAATTATTTCCCTGAAGATACAAATTAGGAAAGTATYAAATAATATAGATCTCAGGAGAGGGTGCGTTTATCYAGTTTATCCAATTTAAAGGGACWATCATAGATATGGGATTCAAGAAAAATTCATTAGATGACTCGGGAATTCCGCAATGAATTTCTTTCGAAAAAAAAAAGAACGATATCGTCTTTCTCTTGAAATTAATTGCGGAATAGGCAATTTGTATTATGACGTCATTTAATACAGCTACCAGAATGCTTTGCCAACTTTCTTTTGTCATGCAATTAGTGTCAATAGATTTACTAATCTCTAAAGGGCTTTAAAAATCTCTGTTAAATGTAATAAAGTCATCATGCAAATGGCCTATTCCCTCGTGGTCCAATGAATTTTCCTGTAGAAGCTGTATGCTCATAACAAAAACTGATTAATTAAATATGCATATTATCATTATCTTTTATATTTTGATCGAATTTTTAAAAACCTTTGGAAGTAATAATAGCTTTCTGATCGTTTTTTCTTGCGACTAGTCAGTTTATGTATAGAGCATTTTATGTTGTAATAGTCCTTTTTGAAGAATATTTGTATAGGAAATAGCACGTTTTGTAGTGATATTTGGGATAAATACCACTTGTGATATTAATTCAATGAATCGCTTTGCTCGTGAAATTTTGTTCGACAATTTTGAAATATCACAAGTGGTATTTATCCCAAATTCCACGGACAAAACATGCTATTATATCGAATACCACTCCTCTAAGCCAATCAAATTGCACAATTTTATTCAATCATATTATAAAAAGGATCTAATAAAACAGAACACAACTCAGAAAATCTCGGCTAATATTCATTGCTCGGTAACCAGCACAGCTCGCTAAACTCTGTATTCAACTCTAAAAATAGTACTAAACTATTCATTATTAATTCTTTTTTTTTCTTCTTTTAAATTAATGGATTTTTTTTTACATGCTGATATCATCTTAGTTCAGGATGAACAAGAACCACTTCCTGGAACATACCATGTCCAGGCTAAGCCAATATATATTTTTAATACATATTTTTTATTTAATAGATTTTGCTTATGATCTTTTCACATCATTTCTTTGAATATTTCTATCGTTGCAACGAAAATTTAGCATTAAAATTGCATTCGCATTATCCTCAGGGAATTGATAACATGAAAGTTTACTTTGCATAAAACAATTTTAGAAAGAAAAAAAGAACGAGTATATTTAAAGTACGGGTACGATGAGATCCGAGGATAGGCGTTTTTTTAGTTTTTGCTAGTTTATACTATTAATAATACCATAAATAGGGTATTTTACATTTTAGATGAAGAGAACATGTTGAAATTTGCCATTTTGGAAGATGAAGGCCGTTAGGGGCTGGATTCGAATTTTGACATCATATGCTTAACACGAGTGAATTTGTCAACATGAACTACCGTGTGAATCCAATGTGAATCGAATGTTGTTTTCGACTATTGCAATGTTTTTGCCAGAAACTGTTATCTTACGATATGAGCTGTATTGAAAATTTATCACTGACTCTATACGTATAATAAATATTATTCTATCTGATGTTCCAGCTCAGTTTTTTGTTTCTGAATGAGACGTGGCTGTCTGACAAGTTTTGTTGTCAAAAGCACAACAAGCAAATAAGGGTGAAGGTTTGATTGCTAAATAATTATTTTTGAGATATTAAGATATTTTGCAATTGAATTTCGTTATATTGGTCGTGCTATACTGAATAGTTGGAAGAGGGAACTAATCATCTAGAAGGATATAATCCTCAATTAGAGTTCGGTAATTTTATCGACATCAACTTGTATCGCTATCTAGTATCCGACGCAATATAGCGGCCAGTTTGCAATAAATAACACCTTCGCACATTTGCTGATTGCTGTCATGTTGTCACTATTTTACAAAGACTTCTCTTTACTGATAGGCATATTTTTTTACATTGTAGGGCATCTGCTCTGAAACATTTAAAATAAACGGCTAYTCAAACCATGTTTTGAGATCGGTGAATTAGTGAATTATCACAGTACTCATATTGACTCCATGATCAAGTAAGTATAAGCTGCCAATTTTCTTTCGCGTCTCAGCCCCAAAAGGACAAAAAGTATGTCGCGTTACGGGAGAGCACTTTTAAATACTTGGTCTTTTTTCATTTATATTAAAACAACAAATTATGTACGACTTCATGAATTCAATAACATCACGCGCGGTGATAATAATTTTGTACTCAGTTTAATCAACAGTTTAAATTCAAAGTCGAACTTATCGCCTAGCATGACTGAAGCCTTAAACTTATGAGGACTCCAAAGAAAATAGAAACTTACTTTTATGATAAACTTTAGGATGTCTACAAATCTGGGAATTGAACTGGCCGTGTGCTCCCCATCTCCATGATATGTCTTCAAAGAGCGGATGGATAGTGTGTTTGTTATAGGCCGAAATATATCACTATAATTTTTTCAACGATTGCATTTGAACTCGGAAGGTCTCACAGACAGAACAAAACGTTTGATTCGATGCTCCTGACTTTGTTTCTTCATTATTTTATACGTTTCAAACCTTCATTTCCCCTAAGTGTTGTATGTCTGAAACACAACCTCGTTCCTGGGTTAAGCATATGACGTCATATGCTTCACGTTTGGGTAAAACCGCCAACCGATGTCACTTCGGCTCAGATTAATGACGGATAGGAAAAAACCGACTTTCAAAGCTCGATTTCTCCTGCTTTTCAATGATGTATCGATAAAAGAAATATCAGAAATACTTATTTGGATCTTCATAAAGAGGTATATGTACAAAAACAGCTCAAATTCGATGTTCGGTTTTCATCGTACCCGCACTGTTAAAAAAAAGAAAGAAAAACATTGTTTTTAATATAACCTGTAGAATTCTAGCGCGCTGATTGGTCGAGAGCCATTGCCGATCGTAGGACAGACCGATGAAATGACGAATCGCTCGCGCACGGAGCTGGCGCGCGCAGAAACGATTTCGTTTTGAAAGTTTTCCTTTGTTTTCGGCTTTGTTATGGTAAAAAGCAAATCGAAATTGCATTTCTATGGTCTGTACGCTTATCGACAATTCAAATGACGTCAGAAAATGATCAAAACTCAACTGCCAAGTTTTGATCATTTTTCTCGACTCCATGACTATAACAACCATAATATATCTAAAAAGAAAGAAAGAAAAAAAGAACAAAAAGTGCTCGAGACAAGATTTGAACTCGCGATTTTCTGTTCTTCGCCGCTGTTCGAGTATCATCCTGTTTCTAAAATTTAACAAACGCGGCTCGTAAATATTAATACAACAAATTGCTACGATAAAAATATCACATGACTAGAAAACCTATATTTCAGTTAAAAAAGAAGGAAAGAAAGAAAGAAAAAAAAATTCGGACGTGCTCCAGTGGAGGATCGAACCCTGGATCTCTGGAGTATGGGTCCCTTGGGATTACTAAACTATGAGGTGGAAAAAAATAAATAAATGGGAATTAATAAAATGGCTGCACTTTATAACCATGCGCAGGCCTTCGGCCTGGACACAGTAATAAATTTAAGTAAAGAACAACAGATACCAAATTTTGCTATTTTCTCCTTGGAATGACTGTATATCCGTGAAACATCGCTTTCACAGTGCTTCACTATAGATTATGCTGTTTTTATTTTGATTTATTAATCAAACCTGTTTGCAGGCATTAAATTTTAACGCAAAACTACAGCATTGCAACGTATTCGATGTGTCCACCAATCACAGAAAAGTTGAAACATTTGTATTCATCTCTATTTTAATGTAAAGGGAAAATTGTCGTCATTTTCCAGTGGAATCAAAATCTTTCAAAATGGTTGTAAAAGATGTCTTTCAAGCTCTGGTAATTTGTGTTGAGGTAAAGTATGATGTAAACAAAGAGAAATGAAAAGACGTTATCTCATTTTATTGATGACTTCAGAAAAGAAGCGATAACAAATTGTCGAAATTGGATCTTAATTTAGAGTTAAATACAATGATATTTTTCTATAAGCTGTTACAAATTGTTTTAATTTTCAAATTTATTTTGATTCATTTTATTAGAATTATAATTCTCTCAAAAGTCACAGTATGAATACATTAGACTTTCGCGATTTAGTTTTTGGAGGTAATCATATAAAGTCCTCCAATTCACACTCGACGGGATTTCAAGTCTGTGCGATTAGTTCCAGTCCAAGGCGTTATTCCAGTCCAGTCTGAATTGAAGGACTTCTCATATCATTAATTATTATATGGCTTAGATAGTACGCGCGCTCTGATTGGCTRTTGACAGATAAYGACCGGTCKGYATTTTCCTGTAATGCCCGCTCACAGCGGTCAATATTTTTCGCGATTAGACCAACTTTGACTTTGAGTAAGACGAAGAAAAAACACAATTTGAAACGCATTGCAAAACAAAGATATCCTTTTAGTTCGTTTACGAAAAAAATAAATGTTTGAAAATTTTTTATTGCAAAATGAGAGACAACGAAAACTACAGTCAAAGTGAATTTATTTAAAATGTAAGTTTTTGACGAGATTAGTGCGAAAGCCGACAAAATGGCTACCAAACAGACGAAAACCATTATATTTTTAGTACCAAACCGACGAAAATGACCAAAATCATTATATTTTTAGTAATTGTCTGCAAAAATGAGGGAATAATGGCTCCTTATTTCATAGATTCAGATTTCATGCACAAATACATTAAGCTTATTACAGCAGTCTACTCACAATGCAAAAGTAAACTTGATAGACGACGGTTATGTCCCACGAATTGCTTGAAAGTTTGCCTGTTTTCAGCTGTTTTCATTGAGAAAGCTTGGCATTTGAACGAGTTCACACTGACTCAAAATTCCTTCAACTGGACTTCCAGGTTTTTGCTCTTTTTTTCTAGTCAACGAGCTCATTGAATTTTTAAGAGGAGGATTTCATTCTCAGCTTTTCTTGTCAAACACCGGTTTGAATCCCTTCAGCTTTTCACTTTTGTTTTGAGTAGTCTGTAGAGGTATGTTCTGGCTTCTTTTGAGCTTTTACATCCTGACACATCGTTTTTTTCTTCCAATACAATCCTTTTTGAGCTATCTTTAAATTATGGTGAATATTTATCGAGCATTTCTAAGCTGTCATTAGACTATGCTTGCCGTCCTCATGAGTAACCAGTTGAGTCAACCACTTYCCTCGCCGTTCATACATCAAATCCAAGTGCTTTAAGTAGCATTTTCGGTGGAACTAACATCAGCAAAATATCCGACTGTTCGTTCAAAATTTTCAAAGGTACAGTCAAGATCCAACAACGGAAAAATCGAGAGTGAYGAGGAAAGTTGAACATTCGCTAAAATCACTGCAAGGTCTGCACGTGTTGACGTTTTCAATCGTCTTAATTTTGACGTATTTTCCAACTWTTTTTACAAACTTTTGGATGTTCTGAAACTTTTTAAGCTAAATTACCGTATTTTGTGGAATAAAAAC